TTGTTTTGGTCTTGAGTGTGTGCATAAACGAAACTAAGTTTGTAAAATGCGCATTATTGAAATCAAAGACTAGGTAAGTTCAATATTAGTTTCTTTATTAAACACTGTCAAAAGAATAAGTCAGTCATCAGGTCGATATCCACCTCTAGGGGTGGTCAATAGGATATTTTTGGGGTCGATAGTGAATAGATTTCGCGGGTCTTTTTCATTAAAAATTATTGACCCAATGGGTTATACGAAAGATCGGGATGCTGTAAATTTGAACACTAAGTAGAGTCGTGTATATGAAAATCGAATGTATATTATTGTCATATCATCACAATTTTTAATCATATTTTAATTTTAAAAAATCACGTGATTTTCGGTCACAACCGGACGTTCATATATCGTTTATAAATAGTTAATCGGGTCTCCGTCTCCTTAGCTTTCAATATCTGGTTTCAATTTTCATCCAGCTAACTCCCTTCTCGAGATTAACAAAAGACGGACAGACGGACGATAATGGGCATTAATAATAAATAAATAATTTTTTTTAAGCTATTAGGAAGAAAAGAAGAGGAAGGGGTCGATGAAAAAATCGAGGGATTTTCAAAAGTTTGGTGATCCTGATCTAAATGTTAAATTTCGTGTAATTTATATAAAAATTAAACCGTTTTATGTTGTATAAGTTCTAAAATATAATAACTTATTTACTATTCTTTTAATAATACTTTAAGTAATTTAATAGCTTAAGTTATATTTAACAAAAACTGTATCAATAAAACTAAAAATTGTGTGAGTAGCAGACAATTTTAAATAACACGAAACTATTGTCTAAAGCATGATTTAAGATGTATTTTTTATTTGTGTATTTGGTTTCTGTGTAACGCTTCAATAGGGGTAATTCTACATGATTTAACAGAATAATTGAATTAAAAAAAGAGAACCTATCAAGAAAATTATATACTCATTTTTCAAATAAAAATAATTTTTGCATTTATTAATAACCGAATGAATGCATTTAAATATAAAGAAAACGAGCAAAAAGTATTGTGACATTGTTGGTCACAATGCCAAGCTGCAATTTTTAATTTACTTAATTTAAAATATATGCTCTCCACCTCAAATTAATAGTGTTTTGTCCCTGTAAATCGTACTTTTGTAGAGAAAATTTTTGAATTGAAATCATGTGATTTCCGGTCTGTACTGAAAGTTTGTATATAGTTAATCGGGACCTTATGCCCTTAACCTTTCTATATCTGGTCTCGACTTTGAGGATAATTGTAATCCAAATACTTGATATTAGATTTAAAAATTACAATTCAAATAAAACAAAATATATTTATTATAAAAAAGTATTTCCGTAATTAAAAAATAAGATATTTAATAATCTTAAATAAAATGAATGTTTAAAATTAAGAAATATACGTATGAAAATTATCGATTACTTCTATCCTCAAGATCTTAATAGAATTAAGAAAATAAATATATGATATGATAAATAAAATATAATACAAGGTTAAGGTAAATTAACAAAAATGATTAAACGAATAATTCATATATAAAAGTCAATAAAATAATTTATGTTTGTAGCACGCTATTTGTAGATAAGACTGTGAAACCTCCCTATTTTAAAGGTAAGCTACGGAGTGCAGACCCTATAGTGTTTTAATATTTTGATATCTGTTCAGTAAATAGGGAGATAGCAGTATTAAAAATAAAAAAGTTAAATTATACGAACCTTTATTTGTAAAAATCCTACTCCAAAAAGTAAAAATCCCATTTTTTAAACACACCACAGATCCCTTAAACTAGTATCTGGATCTCACAGGGGTTCACGGACCACCTCATGGGAGAGATTGTTCTAATTATTTATCTTCATACAGGAACCACAGATTCATCATCATCGTCGAATGATTCCTCATAGTATATTTTTAAAATTAAATAAGGAAAGAGTTAATTAAGCTTATATTCTATCATATTCATCATCAGCATCAACTTTAAGGGTTTGTTCTAATCCCTATTCATTTGACGAATATGTCAGAATGAAATTGTAATTCACCTTTTTGCATTAATTTATTAAAAATACAAAGTTTTAGAGGTCGGATTCGAGTCCCGATCAAGTCAAACTTTTACGAATGACAGACCTTACTTGCCATCCGACAGTGCCTATGGAAACTAGCTCCTATTTAAGTGTTAACTGTATACTAACTTCCGATCTAGACCGGAAGTCACGTGATTTCAATTCAAAAATTTGTCCCAGGAGGAGTTACATAGATAACCGGCACGATTCTATTGTTATCGGGAAAAGTATGATTTACAGGGACAAGACATTACTAATTTGAAATGGAGAGCATATATTTTAAATAAAATAAATTAAAATTTATTATTAAAACTTGTACCCCGGAATTGTGATTATGCCACAATAATTTTTGCATTAAATTACGTTAATCAGTAATTAAATTTTGCGATAAAACTGTAATTTCGTACTAGCAAATTCGGGTAATTTCGGATATTTCTGTATCAATTTTATACCTATTTTGAGAAGGAAAACTGTTATAAACTTCTGAAAAGTTGCAGTAAGATGCCGATAAAAGTGAAGAGTTGGCAGAGATAACTGACAAGTTGGATCATTACTCGAGATCTTCGAGATTTAAACCATTCAAAGTAAAAAAAATAACGAAAAAGTAAAGAAAAATACACGCAAATTGATAAAATATTATTGAATAAATACACGCAAATTAATAAAATATTTATTGAAGTATCATATAATAAAATTACACTAAAATAAAGTCGAGTTTTCGCAACGTTTTTCTAGGGTAGCAGCTCAAGTACAGGTTAAAAAAATGGAATTTTAAGGAATTTTTTAAAATAAATTAGGCATTTTATAAAAATTTGTAAACACGACTTCACTCAATTATTAAATTTCGTAACATAACTACAACTATTTGCCGTATATTTAAATAGAGTTAGTAAATCGATTGATTTTAAGTCTAAGGATTAAGAGTGAAATGATTAATGAGGAAGAGAAACTTTTCTTGAATCTTAATAAATATGACATGAAAAATTGCTAATCTTAACAAATGTGACGGAATGGTGAAACATCAAATGCACATTTCTTTCTTTTATATATATAATTTTTTTTTTATTCATGTCGATTTTATTCTGGAGTAAGCGAAATTATTTTAGAAAATACTCGAAATTATTCAATTCTACAAAATTTATGAATTTGGCAATAAAAAAAAATTATATATTTTTCAAATTCAATGATTTATTTCTAATACGTAAAATTTTCATGGAAAAAAAGAAAAATGTTTGAATTAATTTATCACAAAATTAATATGATGCTAATTTAAAAAGAATTCCGGCGAGTGCGTAACTTTCCTGGCAAGAGTTAAAGTCGCGTGTGGTGCCCTGTGTTATAAGGTTTTATTTAAAAACCTGTATATTATTAATCACAACATAGCGAAAAGCTTAATTTTGAGGGTAGAGATGAGTTTTAGAAAAAATTGTGCACTAATAACGAGTAAAATAGTCATTAAATTCGACACGTGACTCTCATCTCTATCTCCCCACCTCGTCGTCTTTTAACCACCAAAATTTAACAGCATAAATTTCCATAATACACAAACTTCCCCGCAAAATTTCAGAAAATTTTGACAAAAGGTACAGGAGTTATTAAGCTTTAAAGTGGGTAAAGAAAATCGTGCCCTCCACATACATATGGGGAAAAAACCCCTCAAATTTTAAAAAATTTCTCGACATTTTAAGATCCCCAAGTCCAAAATGTAAACTTTTTGGGTTCATATTTTACCTTCTGTTATACAAAACAGAAGGAAAGTAGAAAATTAAATCAAGGAAACATTATAACTCAGATAACGAAAAAGATGTCCATTGATACGGCTCGGTTTCACACTAAACTGACGTTTTGTATACGAAATATTTTTCTCTCTCCTCATCCTCTATTGCAGCATCTTCGGATTTTTAAATTTATATCTTCAATCTATAAAATGGTTTTTCAAACGAAAGGTTTTCAGTAGATTCCGAATAGAAGAGAATTGGAATATAAAAATATCTGTAGATGTTCTTGCAATTTTTATAGGATTGTCAAAAATGTTTCCGGTGGAAATACATTTCTCACAATTTTCTCTCTGTAATTTTAAAGAGTATTTTTATTGACGATATTAATATGGATACATGTAAATTGGAGGATGTTACTTTTATGATTTCTTACATGTAATTTATGAGCATTTTTGTTTTATTGTTGTAATGAAAATACGTTACTTTTGAAAAAATACTATCGATTATTTTCATTTGTAAGAAAATACAGTACATCGAGGAAAAAATATATTTTTTTAAGCCTTTATTTAAAAAAAATTAGTAGAATGTAAGAAATTTTGATACTACAGAATTCTATTATCAAAAATTTTTTAACAACTAAACACACTTTTAGCCCACTACTGAACACTAGACGTGGGTTCGCATCTCAAGCTGGCAAGTCGAGTTGTCAGAGTTTTCTTCACTATTGTCATGTCTAGAGGACCAGTTTCCCCCATAGAAAGTCCTCCCGAAGCACATTAGCCACGTGTCGCGTTGCAGTATATAAAACACAACATACACAGGTGTGTGGACTTATATGTATACTATTAAATATGTTCAACAACATCATTTTGTAAATTATCATGACTTTTAAAATCATTTGCAATCAAAAATTCTCAGGAAAATTTATATAGATTATTCTGAAATCAATGAAATCAAATTTTTTTGTGAATATTTAGTGAATTATTTACAGGTCTATGAATTAAATGAACATCCAAATTCATCAAAAGTAATTTAATTGTTTTAATTTCTTGATATTTAAATTTTTTTTAAGCTCTTAACTTACATGTGCACATTTCTTGATTAAAGTTTGATTAATTATAATTTAACTATAGAAATTACTCAATTTTATTTACAGAATGATGTTAATTTTATATAATTTATGAATTACAAAACTCAGTCCAAATTAAATAAGTAAATTTTCTTAATTTATATAAACATTTTCCAAATTAAAAATGTGCTTACTTGAAAACAGGCTCTTTTTATATTTGCATAAATTTAGCTTTTATAAAACAAATTTTCTTCTTTGCAAAGTGAGAGTTTCTCCCTTCACTTTGTATTTTCTTAATCATTTGAAATTGTTCTTGGAAATAAAATAAATGAATTAAATTTTAAGAATGATATTTTATTTAAGTGCACGGTTCTTGATTTCTTCATTAATTTTAAAGGCTATAGAAATCAACAAACAAAAACACAATCCTAAGATTCAAATACGTTGCTTCAATTTCTAAAATTTCATATAGCAAACATCATTTTATTAAAAATTCAGGAAAAGTTTTAATAATAAACTATGTTAAGTGCAATTGTTACAGAACTAGTTTAAAATTATAAAATTATTATTTTTTATTTTTACAAATATAGAATATTTATATATAAATAATGTGAAAAATAGTACAATTTTTCAAACAAAATGTGATTTATTGTTGAAAGACAGTGGCTTTCATTCTGTTTTTATTCATTTGATCTTGGTCAAATTGGAGATTTGGTTCTGAAATATAAAAAAAGAAATAATTAAAAATAATAAATAATATAACAACTTAAAAATTTTTTAAAAAACTATTTAAAAATAGCTACATCCTCATCATAAAAGAAATAATCATGAATATATTTTTTCCATAAGATTATGGAATGTTACATACCATAACGTTATGGCCGCATCAGCACAGATGAGGAGAGAAGTGCAACAAAATTACAATTTTAGCCAACAATAAAAACATGTAAATTTTACTTTAACTTTCTTCGTAGACTGTATATATTAACAAATAATAGAACTCTAACACCTTATATAATACAGCCAAATTTATTATCCCAATTCAAACGTTTTTGGACATCTTTAATGCCCTTTTTCAAGAACAAACTAACTACAATCGAATACTGGCTAATTTGTATAAACGATAACTGCATTTTGGAACGCGTATTTAAAAAATTCTTATTGCGCAGACTCGTGCCTTTGTTTACCGTTATAACTACATGCCATAAAATACAAAACCAATAAGATACATCAAACTTTACATAGATGAACATAACATACTTAAACATGCTAAATATAAACAAACACTCGTGACCAATAAATGCCATCTTGCTAATACTATTAATTTGCTCCGTTATATTAGGCTTGATCTCCATGCTTCCGATATTCTACTTGCTTCTCTAAAGTTAATTGCTGTTCCTTCTTGATTACTTTTACAAATATGCCACGCCTCTGCATATTTTAGATGCTGTTTTTTGTGAATTTTTTGTATTAACTTTGCCTTATCCCACTCAGCTGTGACTTCTGTAGGGTCTGCTAGGATGTATGTTGCTAGCGCTGTGGCTGGCTACTCATTCCTTATGTTTCTTTTGTGATCTATCATTCTTTCTTTGAGCGATCTTCTTGTAGCCCCAATATAGAATAGCTCTTTTTGCTGCCTTTTATCTGTTATTGGAACTCTGTATACTCTGGGAAGCAGGTTTCCGTCTATCTTGTCTTTGTCTGTTCTTAACATTTGATACACTGTTAAATTTCTTTTGTAATTTAGGGCGCTCATAGCAAGAGCACACATGCACTGTAGCAAAATGCAAGACAGAAATGAAGAGCTGCAATACATCAAAAATATAGCAAGGCAATTTGGGGTTAGCATTAAGCCTCTAACCAACAAAACAAAAACAGACACCAAAGAGAGGAATATAAGAAATAATAGGGAAGAGTTTGCACTAATAGAATACAGAGTTCAGTTAAACAATATATACAAAAGAATTGGAGCAACAACGAACAAGAAAATAATTTACAAAAGGAATTCAACAGTGTATCAAATGTTAAGAACAGACAAAGACGAGATAGACGGAAACCTTCTTCCCGGAGTATACAGAGTTCCAATAACAGATAAAAGGCGGCAAAAAGAGCTATTCTATATTGGGGCTACAAGAAGATCGCTCAAAGAAAGAATGATAGAGCACAAAAGAAACATAAGGAATGAGCAGCCAGCCACAGCGCTAGTTAGTTAGTTCGTTCTTGAAAAAGGGCATTAATGATGTCCGAAAACGTTTGAATTGGGATAATAAATTTGGCTGTATCGTATAAGGTGTTAGAGTGCTATTATTTTACTTTAATTCACCAGACTGATAGTAGAAGAACACTACTGCTTGCAGACAATTTATTGCTTTACAGTATCATAATAAATCTTTAAATATTTATGAATAAATATTAAAAAGATTATGTTGATTCTTGATTATTAAAAAAACCACAGAAAAAATAAAAGATTACTGAATAGAACAAAAACGAATAAAACTCTCAGGTTATATTGAATAGGGATGATGAATAAACCTAATCAAGATTAATAGCATATTTGTTATATAGTCAAAGTTTTAAAGAAAGTAAATTCCTTCACCTACATAAAGAAATCAAACATAGAAATTCATTTTTTAAAAACTGTTTATTTCAAAACTAATTTTGAAATGGAAAGAATTTGCTAACATTTTTTGTTTTCTATTTTATAATCAAGAAATAAATAAAAATGCAATAAAGAAGGTAAAATTCAAACATCCAATGGCATTAATTAACAACAAATGTTTTTACAGTCTTAACTGACCATGTTCAGGTTCTACAATGCAAAAAATTTAAAACACAAGATGCAGGATGGAATAAAATACAACTATAAACTAAAGCCACATAAACAAATTTTATCAAACACTTGCATAGCTTTATATTTTAAACTGTTTGCATTCTAGAACCCAAAAACACCAATTTAAAATGATTGAAAATATTTGTTTGTTAAAACTTTGCAGAATTAAAAAAAAAAGGGTCTTGTTTGAATTTACTTCATAATGTTTATGTTTGAAATGAAGGTAAGAAAACTTCCCATAAATTTTTCTCTTACAATTTTAGACCTTTGATTTTTATTTGTTTTTTTTTCTTATATTCTACATATACATAATTTATTTGTAAATATTCAAGAAAATTGAAATTGTGCAAATAATGATAGCAGTGTCATTATTGAACTGCAACTGAAAGTTTCTGTAGATTTATTTTTGCTTAAAAACGAAATGCAAACTACTTTATTTTAGTGACAATGTTATAAAATGATCCATTAGTCATTGTAAATAGAAAAATCTAAAGTAATTGAGTAACATGAAAGAGAAGATTAATTACATTTTATGATCGATATTTTTGATATGATGCAATTACATTAAATTAATGTCTGATAATGTTAAAAAAAATCAAGTAATAGTGACAGTAAAATAAATAAATTCTGCATTTATTCTAACAAACAGCATCCTTTAGTAGTAAGCATTCTTTAACAAACAGCACAGTTGCAAGATAAAAAAAAAGTCAAAAGGTAGTGTCCTCTAATAGTAAATATGCTGTCTATTGCAAGATAAGGCTTATTGTAAAATGAAAAACTGTGAATTCTATTTAGCATTGTCAACACTACCCACTACTAAATTTTTGGTAATATATCAAAATTTACTTAAAGCTATAGGGAAGACAGAGAGAGTTAACTTTCAAAAACATTCTATTCTACTAGCCATTAGTTCGATATCGTTAATACCTGAAGATGTCTATTACATATAGATGAAAATGTTCGTAGAAAGAATTTTTTGTTTGCTTATGAACTGGATATGGTTTATTTGGTGAGTCTTACATAATTAAATACCCAGTTTTTTGAAATACAGTATAATAAAAAATTAGAATTAAAATACAGAGAATTATTAATTCATAAGTTTTACGATAATAATTAACAAAGAACTATACGTGATAAAAAGATTTTAAATGATCCCGATTACTTGGCATTGCAGTAAATACATAAAACAAAATGCTTAATTCGAAAAATCGCTTACTCAAGAGAAATGTTTATATTCTCCTAAAAGAACAGCTTTAGATCTACACTTGAAACAAAATCCAGTTCATTTCTGAAAAGATTGGATCGAACAGCTTAAAAATCTTAATTCCAATTACTATAAGATTCCAATATTTGAAATTTCAAAAACCCACACTTAAACCTTTTAAATTTAATTTAGGACTAAAATTCTAATTAAAAATTTATAAAAATTAATTTTTTGTGATTTTTTTTTCATAAAATAATTAAATAATTGAATAATAAAACTTTAGCACCTTGTTACTTCTGTTGTTCACTTTGATTAAACATTTATTTAAAATATGTGCATTGCTTTTCATTTTAAAGAGCTAACTAACTACTTAAAATAGAAACACATTTCCGAAACATGCACTAAGAACAAGTGCACAGAATTTAAACACACAGAATGTGTTAGGCTGTTTTCATACTGCAATAATAATGACAGTGCATCTTTTGTGTATTGTCATTGCCAAAGCATTTACATTGTTAATTAGTTTTCATGTTAGAGCATGCACAATTCACATTAGAATTATCATTATTCTGTGGGTTTTTGCTCTTTTAGACTAGAGTTTATCCGTTTTAAAAATGAATATGCAGAGCAATGTCAACAGCTAAATTTAATACATATTTCTGGATATATCACTAAGTCAAGATCTTTCTTCAACACATGAGATTAGTTGTTTGTTCATTTTTTTGAAGCTGTTGAAACAGCTTCAAAAAAAATTGTGGGAATTTTATGTTGATTGACCAATAAAGGTATGACGATGACAAATGCTAAATCTTGGCTTAATTTAACAACTAAGATCAAAATGCAACAATAACAACTAGTGCAAACATTTTACAGACAAAGAAGAACAATAAAATCACCAGTTTTTTGCCATCATCACCGGCAGTGCAAATGCAGCCTTACTGAATGTACATTGTGGAAAATCATTACATTTAAGAAACTACAGTTTATATAAACATATAACATATTTCATTGTTATTGCTTCATTTTTTGAAGGAGTTTTTTTAATCGGTATTGTTTCAGGCCCTATTCAAAAGACAAAGAACATTTTCTAAGATGTAGTTTGTAGCATTAAATATAAATGTAATTCCTTTCCAAATAAAACTGCCTCAATTATTATTTATTTGTTCAAGAATATTTTTATAAAGTTACCTTCTTTAGGTATATCAAGTTGAGAAACTTTATTGATGATGTTAGTGGTAATGGAATCATTATCTTCCAAAATATCTTCCAGTTCTAATTCTAAATCACTTTCATTCACTTCAATATTGGAATCAAATCCAATTGGTTTGGCCAAAGCTGCTTCAATCGCGTTCTGCTCTTCGAGCGTCTACAAAATATCAAAAAATTATTATAAAAGGAAATAAAAAAATATTTTAAAAATAAATATAATCTTACTTCGTCAATATCGGCTATTGTTTCATCTACTTTATCTAAAGAGAAGTCTCCTTCGAGATTGAGCTTTTTAAGTGCCGTCACACCTGCCTGATAAGCTTGAAGTACCTTGAATTAAAAATAAAATCAACAAAAGGAATGATACAAAGTAAACTTATTGTATTTACTAAAGTTTATAATACATACAGTAATTATTATATGAGTAGTTGATTAGAAAAAACAAAAAGGAATTCATATTTTACCAATATATTTGTAAACAGCAACAATCATTCTATTTTAGTTTTAAAGAAATAAACAAACTTTCATTCATTTAAATGCATTAGAAATATGCATGTATAACAAAATGTTGAGGGATATACTGATGACACTTACTGCTTGTAAAATTATGTATGTATGTATGTATGTATGTATGTATGTATGTATGTATGTATGTATGTATGTATGTATGTATGTATGTATGTATGTATGTATGTATGTGTGATTTTGAATACCCCCTTTACTTAATTGAAAATTTATATCAAAACTTTTAGAAATAATATTTCTGATTTTGATGGAAAAAGTTTAATTTCAAAAACAAAGGAAACTGGTAAAACTCACTTCCTTTTCAACGGAAGTTCCACATCCTTTCGTTTTTCCCTTATCTTCCAAGATTTGAGTCACCTAATGAACAGTCACCCCTCTAAATCCCCACTCATCCTGCTCACATGGGAAAAATACCATGTTATCATTGGAAAAAAACCTCAAAAAAGGGGATTCTTTGGTATTGTTCGGGGAGTACGCCAGAACTTCTCGATGTAGAAAGACGTATTCCCGTCAAGTCTCCAAGGACTGTACCCATAGCCAGGAGTGCGCCTAAATCTCCATAGTAGTTCCATATAGCCAACGACCAAACTTGTAAATTGAACTATTTGATAAAGTGCCTCCTTCAAAGTACCAAGAAAAGGAAGAAAAACTGAACAAGAACCAAGATTAATGAAAGAACTTTATCATTGATCCTAATATAAAGAGAATACTTAGAAAAATAAAGTCAGTGAGGTAGTATGATTTTAAAACGAAGTGTAATCTCTCTCTCTGCGAAATAGGTAGTTTATTATGATTGTAATCTCCATTTTTGTTTTTATTTTTGTTTATTAAATATTCTTTGTTATTTCATTTAAAAATGGCCTCGTTCTTGACTGAATCAAAAGATTCTTTTTTTACAATTATAACGCAATCTCTTTTTAAAAACAATTAGAAGTAATCGCGTGATAGTCCACGAAATTGAGTATCTGCTGTCAACATCCTGACATGGATCTAGACTTTACCATATATATCCTTCTTTAAACACTCTTTAGGCCATCCACTGACTTGGATGACAGATCTCTCGATCTGTGCCGATTAAGTGGTATTCAGTAGTAGTACCCCTGGCTAATCTCATATATATATATATAGAGCAGAAAAATATATATATGTATCTTTTTCTGCTCTGCCCATAATGGGCTTGTTAAAAAGGTCCTCCCACTGTGGACAGTGAGAGGACCTTTTTAGCAAGCCCATTATGGGTTTGACCCAGGTCCACAATGGTGCCAGATATATTTGGACATACCAACTTCTCTAAAAAATTCCCAGGGTTTTTCAACCTGTCCAGATTTGATCCAAGTCTCTCACAGAACAGTAGGCTTCCACCTTAACTTCCATCTGGGCATCTTGTAAAGATATTATGGATAATTATACATTTACATAATGTTTTCACAAACATTAAGTTCATGATTAAAGTTATACTTTTATGAAATTTACATAACTGCAGGAATATAAATGATCATTGTATTAATAGAGATAAAACACCACTTATTGGACTGGAATGATATAGTAAATATTTCACTCTAAAGCCTTAAATTATTTTCCAGTAACAGATAATTTGAAGCAGGGTCACTCAACATTAGACTAGCTGAACACAAACACAATATTAAAAAAAAAAAAAAAAAACTAAACACTACCCTAGCCATGTAACAGACAACAAGGTGCAAGCCTTTCTTGAAAAGACAACCATCATCAAAAGAACAAAACATGACAACTCTGTCAAGATACTAGAGGCATTAGAAATTTTTAAATCTGAAAAAAAGGGACATTGTATTAATTTTAAAGAGGAAAAACAACTATCATAAGCATAGCAATCCTTATATGACCACATGATATAGGGACAATACAATGAAAAGTTCTTGGTTTTTTATACAATCTTTAAATGTTGATTTTAATTGTATACTTTGTAATTTTATATATTTATCATTACTTTTTTCTATTTTATATATTGCAAGAATCTCTATTGCAAGAATATTGCAAGAATATATTGCAAGAATTTATATATATATATTGCAAGAATTCATTTAAAAATTATTTAAAATTTTTCAAAAAACACTACTGTCCAATTTAAGCATTCCGTCAATGAATATCAGATCAAGACCTGAAGGAGATCTCCAATTGAAAATTGAAACATTAGTAAAAAAAAAAAAAAAAACTGTTTTGAATTATCTGTTACTGGAAAATAATTTAAGACTTTAGAGTGAAATATTCATTATATTAATATCATATATTTGCATGAGAAGTTAAATCAAGTTAAGTTTAGAAAGAAACAGATTAATCAGAGATTTCTTCAGAAATTAAACATAAAATTGTATATGGATAAATATTCAGATTATTCTTAGATATTATGAAAGAATAACATTTTTATTCCTTATTTCAAATGATACAACAATAATTTGAGATTTATACTTTAAATTTTTTCTGTTCTTCAGTCATTAGCATGTCTTTTATATAAATATGAATTTAGAAAAATAGTTAGAAAAATTACTTCATTTAACAATGAAATATTTTATATTTATGATAAGTATTATATATTTCAATACAAATTTTCATTGAAATATTATTATGAGAGTCAGGCTATTAAACACAGCTTCATTCTGTGTATTTCACAGCCTGATTTCACATATTATAAATTGTAAATTATTAGTATTCCTGAATAATATCACTTTAAACATATTTGGAAGTTAATTTTAAATTATAAAATGTGTATATCAATTGCTCCAATATCAACTATATAAAAATTTTAAAAATAGTTTCTAATATGAACATATTACTACTATTAATAATAACAATAACTATTAAACAGAGCATAATAACATTTTTAAACAAGTAAATTGGTCTGGGAATAGAATGAATGTCATATACAATACAGGGTGTGGAGCCAAAATCCTGACAAATTACATTTTTTCCAAACATTTTTTATTGCAAAAATGAAAAGGTTTACAATTTTTTTTAACCACATTGTAAGGTCATAAAGAATACCTTTATTCAATATATCTCCCTCCTGCTTGAATGACCACCTCCATTCTTGGTCTGAAGCACATGCAGGTGTGCTTTAATGTGTCATGGTCCATATCAGCGAATGCTGCATCAATAGTGGCTCTAAATGATGTGACGTTTGGATGTCTGGACTTGTTCATGACCCTTTCAACTACGCTCCATACATAGAAGTCCTAAGGATTCAAATCTGGGCTGTTGGAAGTCCAGAATTCTTTCAACAAAAACATGTTGATGTTGTCTGACAACCAATTTTGCACCAAATGACTTGTGTGGGTGGGTGTACCGTCCTGCTGGAAAACATACGGCTTTCCAGACAACACAGTTTCCATCCACGGCTTCACTACATTTGTCAGAACACGCAAATAAATTTCTTTTGTGACATTTTCCCCTTTGTTAAAGAAATACAGTAGCATGACATCACCCTCACTGGATACATCACCTAGCATGTGAACAATTGCCAGAAATTTTGTTCTTGTAATAATGGGGACATCAGGGTCGTGGGCGAGCCAGTGGTCATTCCTTCGAATGATTTTCGCATCGACAGTAAAAATTTTCTCATCAAGAAAAAATCTGAGTTCTCCGGCAGCATTGCTTTTTAAGGAACACAAAAGCAGGTTACAGCGTCCAACTTGCTTTGTCCTGGTAGCTTCGGAAAGCATCTGTCTCACTTTAATTGTGTAGACTTGTAGCAGAGGTCCTCCTCGATGATTCTATGCATAGTTTTCTTGCTCACACCAACAACCGAAGACAATTTTCTGATCGAGTGACCTGGATCCTCAAAAATCAGTTCCTGAGCCTGTTGAATGATTTTGGGCATCCTGACAATGTGCTCCTTTAAGTGAGTTTTCCTAGTCAGTGTTGTAAAACCTTCATTGGACTTCTCTGACTCATTGTACTTTGTGACGACATCATACACAGTCGATCTCAGGTACCCAAAGAACTGAATGATTTCTGTCACCAAGCACCCAGCGTGAACACTTTCGATAATCGTGGCTCTTTGGTTATAATGGTTTAGTACATGTGTCAAGCTATTTGAAAGCCAAACACAACATCTACTGGTGTTATAGAACTGTGGGAATTTAAAATTGAATTTTGTCTGGACTTTGGCGCCACACCATGTATATATTTTTAAAAAATAATACTTTCTATAGTAAATTTTTGTAACAAATTCCTATTTTAGACTACTTTATATGCTACAAATGTATTATATCAAAATCCCTCTCACATTTATTTTTCACTTTGTTCAACCCTAGGTTTTATGTAAATTTAAATATAATATATTGGAAATAATTAAGTATAACTGTAGTAGCATTATAGGCAGAAGTATGTCAAAAAAGCTGAAAATTATACATAAGTAGAACAAAAAATAACAATATTAAAATTTGCATTTAGAATAAAACTTTTTTATTCATCCTTTGATTATGTCAGTCTACATTAACCATCAAATTACATGAGCATGCCACTGGTTTGGAAAGTTATACAATAGTTACGGTAGTATACACTCGTTCCTTATTGCTTTAAAAATTTTACTGAAAACTAGTAACGGAGTGTTTGGTTCAGTCTGTCATTGTGAAAGAATACATTTCAAGTGTTGTTATTTAAACTATCCCAAAGTAATCATTCATTTAAAATTGTGAAAAAAGGGAATTTTGTTTTGGATAGTTTTAAATTTGTTCAGAACAAATTTAAAACTATATTAACCACAATACGGTTAAAATTACATTGCTAAAATACAAGATGCAAAAACAATAAGTACTTTTTTTGCACAA